GTACGGACATATGGATAGAGAGCTGCTAAGCAAAGTCAAAGCACTCAAGGATCGTCTATGCTGGCAAATATGTGAGGGTCTGCAAAACCAAAGAAAGATGAGGGCTAATCGGCATTGAGGCATATTTTAGGATTTTTATTTTAATACTTTTATATTATTATTATTTTTTGTTTTAATTAAATTAAATGTTCTTTATCAAAACAGACATTTTCGCGTTATCAGATACATATGAATGAATTTTGTTATCATTGATATGTTGTATAACGAAGCCTACTTAGGCTATTCCTCTACAGCTGATGTCGATATGTGTCGACATGTGAGCTAGCTTTGCTTATTAGGTAAAATGTTTTGAACTGAGAACATAACAAATTTGAGAATCCCATTAAAAAAAACCTGATAAAGGTTTTCACAGATTTTAGCACTTGACTTATCATATACACAGATATATACATACCAAAATGGATCAAAGTAAGGAGCCAGAATTAAAAGATCAGTCTTCCGAGGAGGAAGATGGCAAGGAGCTCGACTACGCTCAACTGACTCTTTACGATGTGATGCGCATAGAGAACTGCAAGGCGAATCGATTCTTGAAGAAAGAAGCGTATCCCAATATAAGGCCGCCAATATCACGATGCTCGAACGAAAAATCTGGAAACTTCTTGTCGGAGGCCATTGTCGATATGGGCTGCCGGGTACCCTTTGGCAAGGATAAGAGATTTGACACCATTGAGATATGGAGACAGGCTCCGAACAAAGACTCGCTCAGTTTTTATGGCATGGGATCGAAAGTCAATCTGCCAGAGGCAGTCGAGTATAGACGAGCTCTCACCAATTCTCTGAATTTGGTCAATGGTATCGATCCGAAGGCCAAGAAGTCAAAAAAGCCAAAGAAACCGGAAAAGCTGCCCAAGCCGAAGGGAGCCTATGTACTCAACCGCAACATCCTGCACTGCGCCATCAATAAGATGCCGACGGTGCTTAAAAAGACGCACGCCAAGAATTCTCATAGAATACTTTATTGTCCAGAGGATGAGTACGAAGATGATTTCGGCGACTACGAACCCTATATTCCCCTGCAGGTGGCCCTCGACATGGAGAAACCACCCAAAAAGCCAAGGCACGGCCTCAGACGCAATCACCAATACTGCGATGTGCAATGTGGTCTGCCGGATAACATGTGCACGTACTACCAATGGATGAAATACAAGGAAGACACGTTACCGTATGATGTGGAATTCGACCTGGAGACGGAGCTGGAGGAGGCGATGGCCGAAGAGCAAGATGACGAGCCGAGAAATTTTGACGAGCTCTATTCAAATCTGGTCTCCTGCTTTGAGAAGAATAAAGATGAAATTCCGCCGTGCACCATCTACGGCAAATGCTGCAGGAGACCCTCGGAGCGCGTAGTAATTCAAGGTTGCGGCGAAGATAAGATCTTTGGCCCTCATGGTAAGTGATGAAAATGGAATCAAAGCTTATACATGTATTAGACTAGGGGTAAAGGTCTGACAGGGATATCAGAGGCGAGCAGAGTGAGCTCATAATAACTTAAAAGAAAACACGGGGAGATAAATCCACTCCGCAGCGCAACGCAACAGTTACATAATTAAAGAAAATAAACTTTTCTTTTCCATGAATAAACATTCGGAATGACCATAAATATAGCTTTGCTTCTCTATTTGTCTAGTCATAAATATGTATGTATGTCATACTTTTAACTTAATACAACTCGTGACGGGTGACAGCGCAGCAGACGTCGGGGAAAAGGTCCAAAATTAATTATGAAAGTTGGGAGTGCTTGGTAAGGTTTACAGCTAAGCGAAAATTGCGACTACCTTTTTTTGGACAGTTACTAGTACATATGTATTGTCCTTTTGCCTATACATCGAGACTGTTACATAATTCATTTGGGAGCAGACAAAAAAGGACAACTCTTTAAGCGTGTCCGAGTCGCATCTTTTTTTTCGCCTCGGCGAATTTTAATAAAATCGCATTCCAATTCATATCACTGTAGCAGCAACAAAAATACGACAGAAATTTTACTCTGAAATACTGCAAGTTGAGTACCCTAACTAAATGTGTGTACATACATATCATACTTATATACATGGTCATATATCACCATTAATTTAATTGAAATTCCATATTGAAATGTTATGAAAATGAATGAGGAAAATTTATTGACGAGTGAATAAACAATTTCTGTTATTATTTTCTATGTCTACTCAGCTGATTATCTAATTAGCCATTATTTTTATGAGTGTTCTAATATTCAGTAATTAATCGTTAATAGGTTGTTAATTAACTGGCTATTACCTAATTATCCATTAAATTTTTAGTTGAAATATTTAGTAGTATTTAGTTGTTGAATATTTTCGTATGCATGTTAAAGTTAAATTGCCTAAGAAGTTATTATAATGTATTATAATGTATATAGTTATAATTATTTATCTGTCTGTCTGTATTTTATAGAGACTTTATTTAAATACATATTTATCAGTTAGAAATAATTTAATGCCTAAATTAGAAGACTCTCGCGTTAGGGCATCAGAATTGAACATTTTTAATCAACGTGCGCCAAAAAAAAAGACAGCAGGCACGCCCTCTAGACACAAGCTTGAAACATAATGAAAAAGGGTTAAATGGGGGAAGTAGAAAAATGGTGTGGCTTACTTTTTAGCATATGTTTTAATGCAGACTTAAATGGACTGCAACATATGCAAGCTCCTTCTTTTTTTTTTTGGTACTTTTCGAGTTAATCATTCGCATATACACATACAATTGACCAACAGTGGGCGTGGCATTCGGCCCACTCTCTCACTTTGGCGTAGACTCATTTAGCCGCTCGCTGCATTTCATTAGTGCAACCATTTCGCTGTCCAGTGCGAGGCCAGAGCGCAGCTCGTTTGCCTTTGATAAGAGGCCAACGATTGGGCTTGTGGGTGGGCAGCGCCTAGCCTTAGGGTTGGTCAGTCAGCCACGAGTGGCTGGTGGGTCTGGCACATACATATGACTTATACGCGCCGCCCATCAAATGCCTGGCCCATTGACCCAGGTTAAATATGCACTTCCAGCGGCTGCCACAAGAAAAGGGCGCTGTCATGTGAGGAGCAGCATTTGAAAGTGGGGCAGACTAAGGCTGAGGGACTTTAAAAACACAACTGTAGGACAGGGATTTTTTTATTTTGCTTAGTAAGTCATGAAAAGTCAGAACAAAAAGTCGAATGCTCGCTTTTTTGCTTCTCTTTTTTGTTAGATTCATTGTTGTTGGCGTTTCCTATTTGCCGCGGGCAGGATACGCTTGCCGGCTGGTTGAATCAGTCTGTCCCTGTTCGGGCGCTTCCTTTTGCCAACGTTACGTAAAATGCTTTTTACGTTCAATTCTTTGCAAAAAGTTGTGCGAGCTTGGGTGTAGGATCACAGCCATGTTGCCGTGTCATTGCAATGATAAATGTATTTGGTCGCACACACACACACACAGATGTCTGGACATGGCCAACACCCGCACCCTCACTCACACTCAAACTCACACCAATACTCGCATGAAACACTAAGTACACACAATAAGCGTTTGTGCCATGAAAAGAAAATTGTGTGAATCGACCAAGAAGTGACATACACACACAAACAAACACACACACACACACACACACACACATTGAGCTCTAAGGAAATAACAACAAGAAAAGCCAATGGAATGAGGAGAAGAAACTGAGCATCAAATATGGCGACACAAAACAATGTCAACAAGCGGCTAACACATACGAGTCGCATTTGTTTTTGTTTGCTTGCCGGCGCCAAAAACCTGAACATAACGCACGTGACCTGGCTAAGAAAAAAAATAAAGAAAACAAGAATAACATATATAAATATATACATATGTTCATGCTCTATATAAATTGTGGATTATGCGTGCCCACCTGAACAGCATTGAATAGAATAGAATAGAATAGAATAGAGCTTGTTTGTGTGGCTCGCCTGCCTTAGCCTATAATTGGATTTCAATCGCTAAAGTCAAAGCAATTTTTATTAGCTCGTTTTGCGAATAGCTTCGCTCGAATGTACGCAGCCGACCAAGCGCAAGTATACAAACAAACATTTCGGACCGTTCGTTCAATGGTCGAAATAATTAATGTTGCCAATATTTTTTATTTACAAACAAACACACGAAAATTCAACAAGGAATGCTTCAAGTATCACACGAGATCAAATGAATTTTGGCATGCCATCTGTTTGATACCCTTCGCGATTGCAATTAATTAGGTTGTGTGTTAAGATTGATGTATACATCAGTCTATACTTAAACTAATTGCCATGTTTAATTAAATTAAAGAAAATGCGAATTCGTTCTTCAATTTAAGGACAGATGTCTTCTAGAGATTTTACATAACTGAAGGATTTATTTATTTTCAATTTTTATTCGGAACGCTTGACAAAATTCATTTTTAAGTACACATACGAAACCTTTGAACTGCTATTTGAACTCGCAGCGTTTCTCAAAGACGGAATGAATATGAAAATAAATTAAAACATATTTAATGTGAATTTGAAAGTCAAAAGTAAAATCGGTGTGCTACTTGGTTGCCATAAGAGTACAGACATATATGTATTATATATATAAATATACTATATATATATATATGCTACATACATAAATAAGTGCATTCAAAAATTTGGACACACATAGCCATACTTCACAAACATTTTCTCTGTACAATTTTCTGCTTTACCTCGGCTCACCCCTCACTCCAATGGATTCCCATTTATTACTTCGCCCACTCCACACTCTAATCAATAATGATTGACAAGATTTAAAAATGAAATGCCATAAATAAATGTGACTTATCAAATACAAGCATATCTATCACATATGATTCTCTTCCTTCCGTTATTAACTGCGTATACTTAATATTTGCTTTTTCAATTGTAATTCCAGAATGCGAATGTAACTGTGCTGACAGCTAATATATAATGCTATATCAAATCTATTATATACTCACTTTTGGCTTTTTGGCGTACTGTCCTGTGCGCACATCCCGAATCGTGGCAATGTCTAGGATGTCGAGCTCATTGTTTTGATCCACCCAATAGAGAAAGAAGCCCTTGGCATCCACTCGCATTGTCACCGGTGTCCCGCTGCCTGAATCCTGAAATCAGAATGGAACAAATAGAAGGAAATACAAGGAAATGACTACAAGTATATATGTATGTTTATGATATATGTCTTTTTGCTAAATCTGTGCGAGGTCTTCCGTTTTCATTAACAGCTTAGCAATAATAAAAAATCCATTTATTATTGCGCTAAAAAAGAAAACATACTCCAGCGCGCCCTCGGTTCATTCAACTTGGTCGAGACTTATAAATTTATTGCAACGAATTTTGCTTTTCAATCGCCCGCAAAATGGCCAGAACGAAGAAAGTCATATCTGCTTCGTATTTAAGTCAAATTAAATGGCCCTGTAAAATGTGCCCCGTGTTGTCAGGCCACCTCCGCTACCGTTTGCTCCTCGACCGCCGACTGCCATAAATATTTTAGCATTCATTCATAAAAACCAAAGAAAAGAATGCGAAATTCTCTTATGCTGGCCCCAGCTGCCGGCTCGGCAATGGCAAACAGATGCGCTCAGATAGAACGCACAACGCAAGCCAAAAATGAAATATTTTATTTTATTTTATTTTATTTTTTCCTTTGGTTTGTTTTTGTGTTTGTTTTTTTGTCGGTTGTTTTTGTTTTCCATATATTATATGCAAAACAAGATGCCACGAAACGTTTGAGCATTGTGCACGGCATCCATCCGAGAGCAGCAATATTTCAGTTTTCTTGGAATCTTGCTACTTGAAAAGCCGTTAAATGGTGCGTAAAATATAAACACTCATTAACAATTACAAAGCATATATCATAGACTAAATATGTGTTTGCCACACTGAAAATTAAAATATATTTTCAGTACTTGTTGCCATCTCAGCTCACCTCAGCTCGGCTTTCAGTGTCATGGAAGCCTTTAAAGATTTTATTTCTTGTGCAATTGACAGAGAAAATTCAATCACAAATAAAATAAGTGATTTTAGTAAGATTTTATAAACAAAATAAATATACACTTATATATATACATATTTATATATATAAAATTCAAGCTTACTTAATCGGCTTAAGAGCAAAATTTCAATTTAACTTAAAACTATGAATCCAAGCTTTAGTTGGAAAGAGCTAGTCAAAGTACTGATAACAAATTTTATTCAGTCTTGTTTTGCTTTAATTACAAAAGTTTTAAATTATTAAAATAGTGAAAAATACGTTTTATATCATCACTAAATAATATATATGCACATAGTTTACACACGCAAATTTAAACAGAACCTTCGAAATCGCTTTACATTCCTGATTGATAGATTGATAGATTTAAATTTTTAGGGGTATCAAAGATTGATATGTATATAAGACCTAACAACATTCATGCAGCAATGAACTTGTAACATTTTGATGAGAACAAAATGAAAATTTACTATTTCAACAAAAATAAATGGAAATTGCCTGAGATATTTGCGTTTCTAGAGCAAAAAAAAAATGACGACCTAACTTTTATGCCATCTATTAAAGTTTTATGACAAAAGGCATAAATCGAGTTATTTCGAAATATGTGAGCTTAACTGATGCATGGCCTGGTAGGTAAGGTAAATAAGTATAAATAATAGAAGTTACTTCAGCTGATACATAGAAAATTTAACAATATTATAAGTAAAATATAATATGAGCACGCCGAATTCAAATTGCAAAGACTTTGCGCGACTCAATATTTCTATAATCGATTTTGTATCTTGCCCTCAACTTCGACCCCTGAAATGTGACCATTACTATAAGGGAATAAGTGTTATTTTAGGTCGAGAATTGATGACCATTGAAATAGTCTTAATGAGCAAATTGAATTTGCAGCTGTTTCGGCAGTTCATTATCCTTTGTTGAGGTCGGTTTAATGAACTCAGAAAGGTGGCAAAGTGGCCCCAATTTCACTTTGGGGAATACTACTCGCCCCAACAGCCAACCGGCCGGCTCTCTACTAATAATTGATATTGAAAACATTAACTTGCAGTTCAAATTTTGGCTCTGGGGGCATTTGGGGGTCATTTGGGACTTGACTATGGCTTCGGTTCATTTCCTTCTGTGGGGCCAGCCAGCCCAAGTCATCCCCGTCTGCCACATTTATATTCAATTAAGCGCATATTTTCTGCAGATTTTTGGGCTGGCATTCGAAAAGGGTTGCGCTACGCTAATTGGACTACAATTTAACCCCGCGTAAAACGAATATTTCGATACTCCGGCACGAGACTTTTATATTGTTTGCGCTGTTTGTCTAATTACTTTTAACTAATTAAGCTACGCGCTATCCCGGCCCGATCGTTCGTTTCAATACAATGGCCAAAGTTGAGTGTTAAACAACACTGGCACAAGCATAAATAGCCAAGTGGATTACCAAATATCTCTGTAAATTGAGTGAGAAATGGGAAATTCATGCTTGTAACTGAAAAACTGTTGAGGCGACAGATTCAATATCTCACATTTTCCATCTCTTTCTCTCCCTCTATGTGCTAGCTTGTTTGGGCTAAGAGCGATTACATGCATAATTCAATTGATGTAACAGCCTGTCTGTGCTTTTCGTTTTCGTTCACCCCCTGCCCTTAATATTGTGACATAGAGTTGTCTCTCTACAGACGTTTAGGGAGGCAGTTGGTAATGTTGGTTAGGCGCCACCACAAAAAAGGGATAATTCCGTACGCAGATGTGCCGCATTTACAGTTGAACATAGATATAGCGATACAGATACATCCACAGTCCCGTGCATATTGTGTTGTCAATCATGCTTAGGGGCCTGCCAATAAAGCCGGCAAGTGCGTGTTACAGTTGCCCATACGCAAAGCGTCAACTGCTTCGGGGACTATGCAAATGCTATTTGGGATTATCCAGCTGCTGCTGCTTACACTGCCAACTTTGCGTATGGGATTTCTTGAACCCTTTTCTCACATTCCTGAACTATTGAAATAAGTATATTTGTGCGCAGCAGCTGACTGGATAATACCCTGCAAAGATGCTTATCTATATGAATATTATACTGATGATATAACACAGATGAATCCTTGGGAATCCCCTCTGCAGCCCCAAATAGCTCAAAGTTCAATGTTAATTAGTTGCTCAAGAGTCTCCACAACTTTCTTAAAATAATCTCTCTCTCTCTCTCTGTATGTATTTTCCATATGTGCTGAGCATGTGTTAGAGCCTTCGACAGCTACAACTTCAAACTACATGCAAATGATGTCATAAAAACGTAGACAGCCTCCACGTTTGTCACCTGTACAAGTTTGTTGAGCACTTCAAAACTAGCTGCTCGAGTTGTTGCTGTGTTGGTTTAAAGTTTTACCCAGGCACTTATTAAGCATACGCCGAGTGACACACTCGAACAAACCCCAGCCCAGCACAGCTCTGCTGCAGCTGTCAAACGTTGTTGGGGACGTCATTTGGCCTGACTCGTTGCTTAGCTCAAATTAAGATGGATGTAGAGCAAGTGAGTGTGTTCTGGTGGAAACTGCTCGACTAGGAAATACCCTGCGGGGCACACGATATTTATTCGAATAGATGGAAATATGGAATATATACATACTTATGTATATTCCTTATTATTTTATGAGATTTATGTCTTTATCGGCCTCTTACAAACATTTGCACACAGCCATCATACCTAGCTTTCCCAATGGGTTTCGAGTTCTACATGCGAAATTCTAGTGAAATGCCCTTGCGATATGACCCTTAACTCACGACAGTTACATTGGCTAAAATTTACGATTGGGCATGTGCGATCCAACACATGGAACAATCAAAATGAAGCTTATCGACCATCGGCAGTACTGATAGAGCAGCATTTACTATATCTAGGAATTATAGAGATTAGATTGTTGTTGTTTGCTTTAATTGGTGGTAAATGTATTACGCAAAGATCATGTTGACAAGACTTGAATTTAGGGACTACTCAGTTCAGCTGGTAGTAGGCGCTAATCACTTGGTATATCCAATCGACGTAGGCGGGCACCGAGGTGTACACCGTTGGCCGATCAGCATAGCCGCAGGGCATATAGCTCCAGGAGCCCAGGCCCACAAGCTCAGCGGGTCCAGTTAAGGGCCAGTAGACCAACGGACTGCCGCCATCGCCATAGCATGCCTTCACCTGAGTGCACACCTGTTTCCGCGTGAGCGGCGCATCCGAAGGCAGCAGCTTGGCGCACTGGTCGCTGTTCAGCAGCGGAGCGAATCCATATTGCAGCTTCTTGGAATACTCATCGCCATCAGCTGTGGTCAGGCCCCAGCCATAGAGAGCAGCCGTCTTGTTGCTGTAGTCCTCGTCGAGATCCGGCAGCGCGATTTGCTGCACACGATTCGAGTAGACGAAAGACTGGGAGACGTGCAGCAGGGCGATGTTGTCGCTGCCGGCGGCACCGTTGAATTGGCGATGCGTCGCCGCAAAGTCCACGAGACGCACCTGAGCGTCGCTCACATTCGATCGATTGGAGAGGCCTGCATAGATGGGAATGCCAATCACGTCGCCATTGAAGCGGCGCAGCTCCTCCACGCAATGGCCCGCGGTCAGCACCCAGCGCTTGCCAATGATGGCGCCGGCACACTGATGGCTGTAGATGAGCGGCGTCAGGCTGAGTGAGACGAGATAGGGCGCATTGTCCACGCCCTGCACATCGTAGCCGCCTATAATGCGCGCTGACATTTCCATGGCCAGGTCGTCCTTTATCTTCTGCATTGTGCGTTCCACTAGGCGGGGTTCCGTTCCCTTTTCGTCGCCCTTGATCGCCTTGGCCAGCTCCTCAAAGTGCTCCGACAGCAGGTGCTGCAGCTGCGGCTGCTGGCCAATGGCATTGGCTCTGACCAGCGCCAAGAACGGCAGCAGAGCGATACAAATTTTTACCGTGAGCATAGCGTTATGTGTAGGGGCGAATGTTAACTAGTCCCGGAAGCTCTCGAGACTGTGCATATAAACCTACGCGTCCAGTTGAGCTTTCCGATAAGCGACGAGTATAACAAGAGCGATTAGTGTTATCGCAGAGTGATTGTGAGAGAGCGGGCAGCGTGAGCTTAGAGATGATAAAATGTTCAATATTTCAAATACACATATATGGACAGTTCTCTTTTTCGGTAAGCATACAGCAAGTGGAACTTGACAGGGCGTATTTGGAGTTGAGAGAATTTCCCTAGGCATTTAACACCTTGATGTCTTGTGGGCTACTTTTAAGAGCTCTATGCCTTTGAAATAGTCGACTTTAATAAGAAATGCTGTAGGAATTGCAATGTTATGCACACATATTATGAATTCTATTGGAGTACTATTAAATATAAAAGCTACAACTATTTGTAATATGAAATGCATTGAATGCATGAAATGCGTCCGATGCAGCAATTTGGAAACTAAACTCGAGTCTTAGACTACAAGTCTCACATCTATTTAGTTTTTCCTTATCTAATTATTGTTAAATATTTCTTTCAAGCCTTACATCCTTTACACAGGTAAACATCCCCTCCATTAAATACCCCACGATATCAGTAGAGGCTTATTTTTGTTTAGCTTTCAAATCAAGTTAGACAATTAGAAAGTTAATTGGATTTTGATGTTAAGCTGATTATTCCTGTATTAGATATAGCGTTTAATAGATTAAATTAATTGCAAAGAGCTTGTAAAGATTTGCGCTATAATTACACAATGGCCGCATTTGAGTCAGACGCTAATTAGAGGATTCTCTGTGTCTGGCCTGAGTTTTATTATCATTGTTTAACTGGACTTTAAAGTGGCATCTATGCCACATGCTCCGTGTTTTTCCCCTCTGGTTGTTTTTAATGTGTACACAATTCGGTTTGTGTGTGCGTGTGTGTGTGCGGTTACACAAAGTCCAAAGCCCGCAGCGGCGTAAAATTTGCTTTTAATTGGCTAAGCCCGTAAAATGGCCGCCATCTGCCGCAGGCATTGCAGCCTGGACACTGTCCACTCTTTTATGTATGCCCACCAAGGACGCGCATCCCTTTATAGACTTACAGCCCCATCCCATGCCAATACCCCATATGCATACATCTATATACACTGTGTTGTTACACGCTTGTATTCGTATATTTTTAGCGCCCTTTTCTACGGGCTGGCGACTGACTCCACCTGGCACGCGTGGCTTGTCAACGCCTTGTATAGCACACATTACGCAAGCTAAAAATATGGCAATTATCAAAGCTGTAAGTGTAAGACGTGTAGCTGCTGTGGCTTTGGTTGGGTTTAACACATTCCTTATCAGGCCGCACTGGATTAGCGTAATTTTTGGCTTATTGAGAAAAAAACGGACCATAAAAACTTATTATTGGCAAAAAGTGAAATCGTTTTCATAAATCCATTCTCTAATCGGCCGATAAGAATTATTGCCATTAAAAGTAATGACACCTATAAAAAGCCAATGAATATGCACGATTTCATCATTCAGTGACCATTGCTTCAAACAGAATGAAGGTGCTCGCTTTTACTATTCTTGTCCTGGTGGCTGCCAGCGCTCAGGCCGGCAAGCTGTCCGACAACTTGATCAAGTTCATTCCCAGCTTTCCCACTGGCTTTGTCATCAACGGCACTGAGGCTGATCCCCATGCCGCGCCCTACATTATCTCCTTGAGCGCCAAATTCGAGAAGCACACGCACATCTGCGGAGGAACCATCGTGAACAAGGAATGGATCATCACTGCTGCCCATTGCATAATCTCCAACCCTGTTGGCATGGGAGTGATCGCCGGTCTCCACAAGCGCGCCGAGGTCGACGAGCGCACCCAGCACCGTGAAATTGACTTTGGCCGCGTCCACGAGCAATACACTGGCGGCGTGGGTCCCTTCGACATCGCCATCTTGCACGTCAGCGAGCCCTTCGAGCTCAACGAGTGGGTCAGCCCAGCTGCCCTGCCCAGCCGCGAGGAAATTCACGAGGGCGAGACCCACCTGTACGGTTGGGGCCAGCCGAAATCCTACATATTGACACCTGCCAAGACTCTGTTGACCCTAACCACAGAGGTTCTGAACTACGAAGATTGCAAGGCTGCACTGCCCGAGGATGCCCCCCTGGATCCATCCAATGTCTGCTCCGACTCCCTGCAGCAGAGCAAATCTGCCTGCAATGGCGACTCCGGCGGCCCCCTGGTCGTCGAGCACAAGGATGCTCCCTCTGAGCTGATTGGAGTTGTCTCCTGGGGCTACATTCCCTGCGGCTTGGCCAACTACCCCTCGGTCTATACCCGTGTCTCCGCCTACATCGACTGGATCGCCAAGATCCAGAGCGCCTACTACGTTCTTAACTAATTTGTTGTTTATAAAATGCAATAAATAACTCACTTGACTCTTGTCAAGTTAAGTTTAGCGATATGACTTTATAATGCAGTTTTAATAGATCATGTGATCCGATAACCTATCCATAATCGATCATTATTTATGATCTAGATTATTGAGCTAGCTCGATTGGATTAGTAAATCTTTTTATGAATTAAAGCTTACTTTGTACTCTGCAGACAGATTAGCTTACCTCTGCGAATTATTAATTAATTGCGCAATGTACACAAAAATAGAGGGAAAAGGAAAATGCGTTTAAAAGGAAATCAAGGTTTAGTTATTACGAGTTTGGCTATGCTTAGAGGAAATTCTACTATTGAAGTTTTCACTTACGTGAAATTACTGAGAGTATAACACATATATATCAAACATTTAAACATTTGTAATTTTTAACCAGGAATAGTTTTTGTTTCCTTATACTCACTGCATGATTTATACGTGTAATAATTGTATTGCCTTTTAAAGTACTCTAAACTACGATCATTCATGCGTAAATATACGAGGCATATTATGTATGGACTTTAATTATAGCTAATCAGTTTTAAACATTTATGGCCCATAAATATTTCTGATTTTACATATTCATTTCATGACGAATTGAATCGAATATTTGCTTTTGAACAATAAATTCTGTATAGCATAGTAGCAGAATATTGTCAGAATATTATATATCATAATATGAAATCAAATTAGATGAAACAAAGAGCGGGGGCACGCGCCTACGACTCAGCATTATATAGCTATAAACGGTCGAAAACAGGCGGGTCTTCACCAATTTTATTTCTTATCAATTAAATTTTGACCATTGAAGATCTAGTATGCTGCTGATTAGCCTGAATTTGAAGATTTGGAAAAACTGAAATCAGAAAATATGATTGTCGCTCAAAGGGCAATCAACACCATAAATCTATCTGCTTATCTGCCGATAGTGGCTCATCTAACACTTCTTTTTCCGCGTGCCTATAAAAGATTACAACGCATCGACGATTAGGTCATTTCAAGGCAATCGACCAAAATGAGAGTATTCGCTGTTACGCTGCTCGCTCTTCTGGCGGTCAGCGCTCATGCCGGCAAGCTGACCGATAGCCTGGTCAAGGTTGTTCCCAGCTTTGCCACTGGTTACGTAGTCAACGGCATCGAGGCCAAACCCCACCAGGCGCCCTTCATTGTCTCACTGTCTAACAACTTCACTCATCATTCGCACAGCTGCGGAGGAACTATCGTCAACAAGAACTGGATTCTCACAGCAGCGCACTGCATCTCCAACCCAGTTGGTATGAGTGCCATTGCCGGACTGCACGCGCGTGCCGTAGTGGATGAGCGAACTCAGCAGCGACTGGTTGACTTTGGTCGCATTCACGATAGCTTCGAAGGGGCCGTGGGCCCCTTTGATATCGCGCTCCTTCACGTCAGCGAACCCTTCGAGTTCAACGAGTGGGTCAGCCCCGCTGTCCTGCCCAGCCCTGGGGAAATCCACGAGGGTGAGACCCATCTGTACGGTTGGGGACAGCCAAAGTCCTATATATTCACGGCATCTAAGACTCTGCAAACGATCACCACCAACATTATCAACTACGATGAGTGCAAGAAATTATTGCCCCGCGATTCTAAGCTGGTTTCAACCAACATTTGCTCCGACTCCCTGTGGCAGAGCAAAGCTGCCTGCAATGGCGACTCCGGCGGCCCCCTGGTCGTCGAGCACAAGGATGCTCCCTCTGAGCTGATTGGAGTTGTCTCCTGGGGCTACATTCCCTGCGGCGCAGCCAACTACCCTTCAGTCTACACTCGGGTCTCCGCCTTCATTGGTTGGATCACCAAGACCCAGAGCGCCTACTACTTAAGTAAATTGTAGTTTCAATAAAAGTGAAATCATTTTGAACTGGACAAATTTGATAATTGCTTATCTCTGAAATTAGTTATTAGTAGCTAATTTATTAGAGCATTATTATTGATGAATAATATTCAATGGAATTTTAATGCAAAATTTATGGAAATTGATATTGATATCTTCTGTACCATAAATTATAAAAAGATCTTGATTTAACGAATCGATGTAGTCAGATATACTGTACTGCCAGAAAAGAAAAATTGTATTTATATTAATTTGCTGGTATTAATTTGATTGCATCATTAGGTTAAGAACCAACGTCTGTTTAATAAACTAATTTTGAATTTGTAAAACCCACTGGCAACGCTTAATTGTTAATGAATCTATACATGTGGCAATAAGCTGGCTAAGCTTCTTCAATTGGCAGTCTGGCAATATTTACTAGCGCTATCGGGCATTACCCACTACCGTTGCATTTTCTATATTATATGAACCTTTTGCAAGAGCGAAAATGTGACAACTTGGTAATCGAATTCCAAAATTTGAGAGAACAGAAAGAGAGAGAGAGAGAGAAGAAGAAATCTCTTGTTATATTTGAACTCTAGAGTTTAATGTTCATCAATCTCGATAAAGGTACAAACCCTTTAAAATCCTGGAAATTATGAAATGCATCAGCTCAACAACAACAAATTTAAATCTGTAAAATACAAAACCATAAGCGTTTCATAATGGCTGAAAATTCGACGCCAGTTGCTTAAAGGCAATTTACATTTTTAGTGTTTAAAACAAAAAACACGAATGGTGAACTCCTCAAACGCTCCAATGCTTTACACACGCACCCAATCAGACCCATGATGGTTTGCTTTGTTTACAGAGATACCCAAGAAATATGGTGGACAGGAATGTAAACCGCATTTTGAGATTTACAACCGACTTGGGGCATTATTTATTTTCGCATAGAGCTTAGGCCTTGTCTGTAATGATTCGATCGATAGCAAAGTTTCGATTGATGTTCATCTAAAGTGGGCGATTCCTGGACTCTTTGTCTATTATATAAGAAGTAGCACTTGGCCTAACCGGGACATTGTCAACTGCGTAAGCCGGTAATATAAATATGAAACAAGTAAGAAGACTCTAGTCGATGCTGCTCGACTAGGAGATACCCTGAACCC